TAATTGAAGCAAAAGGTTTCTTATTGAAATAGTGTTTGAAATGATACTATCTGATAAATGAGAGACAAAGAGTGTTTGAAAGAGACGCTATTGGGCCGTAGGTGGAGGTTTAGGGAGAAGAGAGCATATTAATTACAGTTATAATTTGTTTTAGTTAATTTTTAATTTAGTTTAAGGTATTAATCTAATGGGAACAATACATAAATCCTACATCTAAGTATTACATTTCAAATAACAAACTCCAAAAATCTTTTTAAAAATCAGATGTTTAATAAATTTATTAAATATTAAAATATAATATAATATACATTAATTATCACTCATGCCACCTCACACACTCCATCCTATCAACCCACTACACCACCTTCCCTCCACCTCTCCACCGAAGACGGCCATCGGCTCTGGCGGCCAATCCGGCAACTGTTTCGACGATCACTCCGGTGGTCGTTCCGGTGACTTTCCGTCAATTACTCCGGCCGTCGATCTGACGACTATTTTGACGATCACCCCGACGCCCGCTCCGGCGGCTATTTGACGATCCCTCAAGCAAACTGCTCTAATGACCACTCCAAAGCATGCTCCGATCAACCTACCCACCACATCCACCCACTCCCAACTTCCAAAAAATTTCCAGAATTTCAAGTTACAATCGGTCACAACGAGTCACAATTAACCGGTCACAATCGGTTACAATCAGTCACAATAAGCACATATTTGGTCACAAATGGTCACCACGAACAATCTGCACACACCATAGCAAATTGGATAAAAAAACTTCCAACAAACTCCAATAATTCCAAAATCAAATCTACTGCGTAGATCTACAGAAAATAATTGATTTTTGTTGTTCTGCACTAAATTTTTTTCTATCGCCATCAACCCCCACAACCCACATCACCACCACAGCTTCCAAACCACTGCTGCATCCTCAATAACAACCACCATCACCATATCTATAATGAGAAAATCTACGAAGAGAAAGGCCAATGCAGATCACAAACACTCGTCTCATACTCTACCCGCCACTGACACCACTACCAACACCACCAACCACCTCGCCACCACAACCACACATCACCACCACCTAGCCATATCCTATCGATTGTAGCCATGACGGCATCATGGCACACATCCAAAACCAGATCCAATCAACTACAGTATGTCACTGCTTGTAGCAAAGGCATGCCTTCGACTACGATGGCAGATGAGCGATGGTGGGTCTGCAGCGAACTCACCCGCCTGTGGCCAAATCGTCACGGTTGTGGTTGCGATGACTCGATCCCGGCGACACTGCTCCATGGTGGCTGCTGGTGGAAAATGAGGAGAGAATGAAGATGAGAGAGAGAGAGAGAGAGAAGATACAGAGGAGGACATGAGAGAGAGAATGAGAAGTGAGAAAATTTAATTACAGATTTTGAAAGGTGCGTGGGTAGGGGTTAGGTGAGGTGAGGTGAGGTGAGGTGATTAGGTTTAGGCATTGTTTGAGGGTCCCACCATGAAACAAAAAGTCAATTTCTGCTGCCTAACGATTGGAATTTCTAAATGGGCAAAAGAATTTAAAACAAACTGGGGCTTAATTAAATTTTTATTAATTATAATTATTAAAACTTAATTACCACCTGATTTGTGAAATAAAAATTAATCCACCTATTTTTTGAAATGAATCTTTAAAAGTAGGTTTCCATGTAATTTTCTCTAATCTAATTTGTCCAAATATTGGGGTACCGGGCCTAATTTTCCCATAAATCTTTTAGGTCTACTCCACACATCTGAGTGAAACCTAATCAACTGTTCTTGATGAGATTCTTTTGGAATCTACTTTAACCCACTTGATGATGTATTTCGATCATCTTACGTATGTCAGATGTATGTTGGGTGACAATGGACGGTTAAATTGTCTTTTTAACTTAAAACGATATAATTATCGTTTTATATGAACTGACACGATATATACGTTGTTTTACTTATGATTTGAATGGAACGATTTCAATCTCATCGAATTTGTACTGATTATTGTTTAATATGAATTGAAACGATATATATGTCGTCTTAGTTATGATTTCAACTGAAACGATATCAATATCGTTGAAATTATATTGAAACGATAATGATATTGTTATGTATCAAACCCATAAAATAACATAACATAACGATATCCATATTATTTTAGTACAAATTTGACGAGTTTGAAATCGTCTCAATTCAAATCATAACTATAACGACATAGATATTGTCGCTTTTCATATAAAATGATAATTATATCGTTTTGGTTAAAAACAAAGATTTGACCGTCTACAGCTACCCGGCATACCTCCAACATACTACTCGAATGGTTTAGAAAGTGTGAATGAAGATACTTTGTTTGTCTGAATAGTTCGAAAGTGGTAGAAATTATGGGAACACAAATGTTCCCTCTTTTGAGCAAGATTGAACACATTTGATAACGTATTCCGATCATCCTATGTATGTCAGATGTATTTGGGTGACCATGGACGGTTAACTTATGATTTGAATGGAATGATTTCAATCTCGTCGAATTTGTACTGAAATCATATAATTGTAGTTTTGTTATGAGTTTGATATATCGTTGTATCATCAACGTAACGTATGAAAGGAAACGATACATATGTCATTTTAGTTATGATTTGAACTGAAACGATTTTAATGTCGTCAAAATTGTACCAAAACGATATGGATGTATGTTATTTTGTGAGTTTGATACATAACAATATGAAATAAGAATTAAGAAAATAATGTCTTTTTGTATACAGTGATATTTTTGTCATTTACAAATTGTGTTTTTCATTTTTTGTATCTTCAGGTTTTTTAACTAAAAAAAAAAAAAATAGTTGTTAAGACTTTTAAAACTAATAATTGATTTGACTAGATTTTTTAAATGAAAACCCCATATATCTTACATGCTCTCTTGAAACTGAAATTTCTTTAGCGAGATTGTCATTTGTTTGATCTGAATCATCAATAACTTCTTTTGAAGGAGGAGATGAAGATGTCAGTGGGTGGGTGGGTGGGAGTGGGGTGGGGCAGATTTTTTTCCATAATTTTTTAATAATTTATTTATAACTTACTTTTTTAAAAAAAATTCTTTTATTTTTATTTTATTTAAATAGAAAAATATATTCGTCGCCTCACAATTTTTATTGAGAAATTGATGAAATTTGATAAAAATGATGATTTCCACGATGAAATGTGTAAATAGGGATGAAAAAAAAATAAAAAAAATACAAAGTTGCGATATTTTACACAATGAACTTCAAACATAAGGACGTTTTGTGCTAATAATCCCTGCAATATATATAAAACCTTGCATGTCATTCGTTTCCTTCTGAAATCGATATTTTGGTGACCCATAAAAGATGTAAAGAAAAATTTAGTGCAACTCTTCACATCCAACTGAAATTATCTCGATATACCACGGATCCATTTCGAGCCATGTTGCTTTCCAAGTTGAACTGAAATCAGCAACTTGAAGATAGAACAACCTGAATTCCAAATGAAGTTCCTAACTATTTTACTTGATATTTAATAGCTTTGAATGAGTTTCTATGCCAAGCTGGTGCCACAAACTCTCAATACCCAGAATTCCACAACAATAAGGGAGGCTCAGATTTGCAGCATTTCTAGAGGTAGAACAATACAACACTTTAAGAATGTTGCATTTCATTCTCCGAAAAACTTTAAGTACGTAAACACCCAACAAAAACAAACATTGGCATATACTTATGATGAAACATGTCACATCAAATATCAAATGGAAACAAAAATGTCTGGCATGATTTGAAGCATGCGAAGGAAGGTAAAAGATTCGCTCATTTGGTTCTATCCTTGATAGAAAAGACAAGACTAAGAGCTTAAGTCATCCTCTGTGCAGCCTCCTTGGCCATGAGTCTCTCTTTGGCCTTTGTCTTGGCCTGGGATTTTGAGCCCATAACTCCACCACCCCACTTCTTCCTGGTCTCATCATATTTGTCGTTGAAGTTGGCCTGTTGTAACAGCAGAAAAAGAAAACAAGGGAAATTCCATCAACTTTTAATTTATGCCAAACATATTAAGAATAAGTGAATAACTCAACATAGTACATAAAGAAAACATGATTTACAGGACATGAATAACACACTACCTTAATAGCTTCCAAGATCCTGCTGAAGTCCATCTTGTCTTCATTCTTCACTGAGGTTAAGCACAGTACAGATGCTGTCTTCTTATGGACTATCTGCACGATGGCATGTTACAGAACATTATAATGGGCTCTAAGCAAATATTACCAAAAATCACACAGCCATAGATCTGAGGCCACTTACAGTTCCCAACCGTGCCTTTCCCTTCACGATGCAGTAAGGGATTTCCATTTTCCTGCACAATGCAGGAAGCCACACGACCAACTCAATGGGGTCAACATCGTGGGCAATGACAACAAGTTGAGCTTTGTTCTGCAATAAAATCATGATTTATTAGTCATTTCGTGGATAAGACACTAATGCCTGCACTGAAATCAAGAAGTCCAGACCTGCTCAATTAGATATGTTACATGGTTGAGACCATATTTCACAATGATTGGCTTCTTAACCTCTGGCGTTTTTCCTTCAGCCTCAGCCTGAGCTCTTTTAAGAAGCCTCTCTTTCTTTTGAGCTCTATCCTCAGGCCTGTATTTGAGAAGCATCTTGAACAAGCTCGTTGCTGCATATTGAAAAACAACCAAATTTAATATCATGAACAGAAAATTTCACAATGGAACAAGCACTATTTAATTTCATTTTAAAACCTACAACAAAAATTTACAAAAAGGCAATGGAAAGAGGCCCTTAATGACAAGGGAAGATCATTGTTGGGTCGCTGATTCCAAGACCACAAAGCCCAACTAAAATGTAGATGTTAATTTCATGACCTAGATTGGCTCTACTATTAGTATATAGTTATGAATTTGTCTAAAAGATATAAAAGATGATTGTTTACATGCTGGATAAATACTGCATAAGCAATATACGATCAGAGATCAATATGTACATCTATATGAAATTTATATTTTCCCGACTTATCCAGTCCTAAAAACAATCCTCTTTCCTCTTAACCACATATCCAAAAGAATATATTTCAAAGAGGATAATAAAGATAGAATCCAATCTGAGCGCTCAATTCAGACTTATAACCAAACATGTGCATTCGCATAAATTAACCAAACATGGTTCCATCAATAGCATCATTTTGCCATGCTGAATTTACAACGAAATGAGCTGGGGTATGTTATCTCAGTTGAAAATAATAATACAAATCAAATGAACATTTCCTGAAAGTATAACAAGACACGCCATTTCTAACGAGCATATAACTCAACAACAACATTATCAATCATAAAAAATAACATACTACTATACACACCCAGTTTCCTACATTGTCAGTAGCCTTCTACTAATTTTCAGAAGTTTAAGAAACAATAAAAAAAAATTACAAAAATAACAATTTCACATTTAGCAAACAAGAATAACACTCAGAATCTCATAAAAAATAGCAAATACGGACAGCAAATTAGTAAAAAAAAACAGAGAAATATACAGAGGAGGGTATAAAAACAGACCCAAGTTCTTGTCGAGGGTTTTTGAGAACTGATGAATTGGCGGCGGGACCTTAAGCCGTTGCTTCAAAATCATCTTCTTGCGCTGAATCCTCACCACTTGAGGCCATTTCACAAATCGGTGGAGATCCTTCTTCGGCGGCAACGCTCCACCAATACCAAATTGCTTTGGCCTCTTCTCGAATAGAGGATTCACTACCTTTTCCGCTTTCCTTTTAGCCACACCTGTCGGCAATTTTGCGCCCTTCTTTGGAGCCTACAACATTCATTTTTACACGAAAGAAGCAAAATGTTAGTTCTATATGTTAGTTACAGAAACTGAAAATTGCAACGAAATACAAATGGGCGGGCGGGCGAGGGCGAAGGAGGCGCACCATTTTTCTCAGATGGGATTCAGAACAGCGGTGTAAAACCCTAGAGTTATATATATAATTATTAATTTCTGAAATCCAAACCTTCTAAAATGAAGCCCAGTTTGTTTGGGCCGAAATAACATTACAACCCGAACGCCCAACACTTCAACGGACATCCCGGCCCAAAAAATTATGCGAACTATAATAGGAAAAATTACATAATTCCAGACATTTCAAAATCATTGTGCAAAAATCAGGTGGGAATGTTTTTTATTCAAAATTCAAGTATTGATTTAATTATTAAAATATAAAACTCATCTCATCCCATTCCAATTCCAAACCCCAAAAAAATTCATTTGACTCCATCTTCTCTCCTCACTCTCTCCACTCAACCCACACCTGTGGCACCGCTGCCCGCTGTCGAAGACCACCGCCGAACTCACAGGCTCTTTGCGATATTTGCACATCATGCTCGCGGATTTAACTGGGCAAGAGACCATGGCTTGGATCTGGGGTTTCATTGTATCAACGGGAAACATTGCCATGTGCTCCACCACACCCGCGATTGATCCAGAGATCATAAACTACCAAAAGTGGAGGCCGTTGTGCTCCGGGAAACTATAATTTCGGGTGGTTGAGGGACCGCTATCAGGTCGACGAGGCGTCGGTAGCCATTGAAACTAGTAAAACCCACAAACGCCCCAGGGTTAGATAATCAAGTCCAGATTGGGTTAAAATCAGTTTGTAGGGGTGGTGGTGCGTTGTGCAACGATGGTGTGGTGGTATTGAGGGGCTGTAGTAGGGGTGGTTTCTTATTTGTTGG